TGTATATGGAAAGCGTGTTCTCTAGTTGTCGGACATACATATTCTAGACTAGTACGATCATTCAGTTCATCTGATATATAATTAGCTAGTCTGCTCAACTAATCAGTCTATAATTCTGTATATACCATTGTATGTATGATGAACAAAATAAAATCATACAATGGAAGAAGAAGAAGAAGAAGAAGAAGAATGATCGGTCGGTCGATAACACTATCAATCGACATGTGCACTTGGTCGATGCATTCATTTATGAGCAGCATCAGTACTAATATATGGAAAAAAAAGGAGAAGAAGAAAGCAATAGCGAGAAAAGTGTTCATTAAAGAGAAAAAAAAAGAAGAAGAGCGGGCATATGGTAATCGTGTTATCAGTCAGTTATTCATTCAGTAAAGAAATGATACGAACAAAATTGATCAGTCTTTCTCGGATTTGGTATACAATAATTGTTGTAATAATTCATTTAATTCTTGTCTATTTTGGTATAAAACAATGTTATTTTAATGATAGTTTACCATGGCCAAAATCTTCTTTATCATCACCAAAATTTGAATTATTAATAGAAAAAATTTGTCTTTTAACATCACTTGTTCTTCTTTTTATTTTTATTTATCCAGCTTTATTTCAAATTGGAAATTTATCAAATGATAATAAACAATTAACAATTAATGATTTAAATGAAAATCATACAAAAATATCTAAAAAATCATTATGTACTAGTTTTTGGAATCATTCTTTTTCATTAAGTAGTACTTTACATTTAACAATGAGTTTTCTTATTATTATATCACCTTTATTAATTGATGCTAAACAAATTATGGTAGGATTAAAAGATTCAGGTATGATAAATTGATTTTATGAGAAAGATAATTATTTTCTCTATGATTATTAGAATAATTATATATTTGTCAAGGAAAATGACAAATGATTAAGATAACACACGAAATGATGATAATATTTAATTACTTTCATTGATTGCTAAATCAAGGACGTCAAATTCCATTGAGATATAATACAAAATAAAAGACGAAGAAAAAAAAAATCCTATTATTTCAATTCTGATTGCTAGATAAATAATTCCCAAAGCGAGTTTGACAATATTGATTATCTAATAAAATAAAAAGAATAAAAATTGAAAATTATATTTTAATAGTTAATAATTTTCTATCTATGTTTTATGTTTAGCATTATTATTACGTACTGATTTTGATTTATTATTTGATTGGTCTTCTTCATCATTATCATCTTCTACTTTAATTTCAACTACTAAACATTTAACAATATCAAATATAACTTCTTCAGTTCTATCATTTTCAATTGATTCTTATTCACGTTTAAGTCTTCTCAATTTTTTATTTGCTTCATTTATTTGTATTCTACGTGAACCACATGTATTTTGGTCAATATCAAAAATATTTTCAATAATTTATTCATTTGCTCTTGCACTTAATGTTTTACAATGGTGTTTAATGTATAGTGCATTTCAACTATTATTAAAAAATATTTGTTTTAATACAAATGAATCAATATATAATATTGGATATTTACTTCTTTATCAACCTTATACAGCATTTTTTCTTTATTTATTACTTGAATTTCTTATTTATATATCATCAATAACATTTTATTATTATGCATATAATCGTTTTAAATATCATGAAAATATTAATTATAAATCATCATGTTATGAACGTTGTTCACATTATTGTCCAAGTTTAATTGCAATTATTATTTTATTATTATATACATCATGTAAAATGCCACTTGTACATGATATATTTTTACTTTATATTCAAACACGTTTAAGAATTTTATTTATAACATTTATTTATGAAATTGTTCATGTTTTACTTATTCTTTCATTATGGATTTATTTAACAACAAAAATTGATTGGAATTTAAAAAATCAAAATAATGAACAAAAATTATCTTCAGTATTAAATCATGGTTTAACTGTAAAAAATACACCAATACAAGCAACAGCAATATCTTTACCAGAATTAAATGGTAATTATTCATCAACAGATAAAACATCACGAAGATTATCAGATAATATTTATCAAAAACCTTATGAAAAAATTCGTATCGTTCAATCAGAAATTTATTATCGTAATCATCCAAAAAATTGGAGTTTACCATTAAATCAACAATCAACAATGATGGCTACATTTGATAATGACGATGATGATGATGATGATGATGATGATGCAAATAATATTGTTATTCGTTCACCATCATATCCCATAAATCAAAATAATGAATTACAATATCGAGATGCAATACGAAAAACTGTTTCAAATCTTTATAAACTTCCAAATATAAACAATGAAGAAAATTCATCGAAAAAAGTTATTTTACGAAATAATATACCACCTATACCACCTGCAAAACATTTTACACAAGAACAAGTAGAAGCGGCAAGAATGCGAGCTCAACAAATGATTCTTCAACAAAAAAGATCATCAGACTATATGCAACATCATCGTTCA